CTATTAGGAACTAATTGCTGTGAGAGCCAGTGTTTCCAATGAAATGTACATAGATCTCCTGAAAGGGCTAAATGGGCTCAATCTAATGCACCATGGCACTGGTCCACTTTCCTGCATTTTTCTGTTTCTGCTGTGAGAAGACTCCAGTTCCAGATTGACAAACCCCATCCAAAAACAGGAGGCAAGATAAAAACATAATTACGTGTGATTCAAATGTAGTGCATATTTTTAAAATTTATAAAAATGTACTGTTTCCTGTTTTATTAGTGATTTGCATTTTATACAGCTTAGGAAATATTGGATAAAGAGTTTTTCGCTGGGAAAGTTCTACAAAAACTTTAGATACTCTGATTTCTCTACTGATTGGATTCAGCAACAAATGGGTTACAATGTACTTTGAGACTTAATGGAAAACTCCAGGCACCCAAGACCACTTCAGCTAATTGAAGTAGTCTGGGTGCTGTGCTCCTATTGCACTTAGTGCTGCAATGTAAAACAACGGAGTTCCAGAGAACTGCAATGCTTACATTGCACCTCTAAGTCTGCCCTTTGTGGCTGTCTATCAGACAGCCATTGGGGGCGCTTCCAGATTCATAACTGACTTTTGATCTGTTATCCGACGCTGGACGTCCTCACGGAACTCCAGCATCAGATTTTCCCCATAGGAAAGCATTGAATAATGCTTTCTGACGGGGAGGTCTAATGCACGCGCGCGGCCATTGCCGCGAATGCACATTAGACCTCCTCTGCCGACTGACGGCGGGGGAGGAGTGTGGGCAGAGCCTGACCCAGCACCAAGGGACATCGGCACTGGATTTTCGGTAAGTAGCTGAAGGGCGGGAGGGAGGGGGGCACTGCAGAATCCTGCAGTGGTTTCCTGGCACTGGAGAGTCCCTTTAAGGTCGTATGGATAAACTTGCCTCTCTTGCCTTAGTTATCAGATGCCAAAAGTAGATCTGTTTTAGAGCCAGCACATGTACTCAACATTGCTTTGCTGTAAAATATACCACTTAACCCCTTAAGGACACGTGACATGTATTACATGTCATGATTCCCTTTTATTCCAGAAGTTTGGTCCTTAAGGGGTTAAAGGGACTCTCCAGTGCCAGGAAAACAAACAGTTTTCCTGGCACTGCAGGTCCCTCTCCCTCCCACCCCCATCCCAAGTTGCTGAAGGGGTTAAAACCCCTTCAGTGACTTACCTGTATCCAGTGCCGATGTCCCTCCGCGCTGGGTCAGGGTCCGCCCACGCTCCTCCCCCGCCCAATGTCATCTGGCGGGGGAGACCTACTGAGCATGCGCGGCAATGACCTCCCCATAGGAAAGCATTGAAAAATGCTTTGAATGCTTTCCTATGGGGATTTCAGCAACGCTGGAGATCCTCACATAGCGTGAGGACGTCCAGCGACGTTATAGCACACTTTTCATGTTTTATAAACACGGAAGTGCCCTCTAGTGGCTGTCTAGTAGTCCACTAGAGGAGGAGTTAACCTTGCAAGGTAAATATTGCAGTTTATGAAAACTGCAATAATTACACTTCCGGGTTAAGGGTAGTGGGAGTTGGCACCCAGACCACTCCAATGGGAAGAAGTGGTTTGGATGCCTGGGGTGTCCCTTTAATGAGCATTAACTCTTATTGCAGGCGATAAGCTTGAAAGGGTTACTGACTAAAGTGGAAATGCAAAGTGAATATTTAACATTTTTGGCCAAAGTAGCTGAACCTGAAGCATATGACTTAGATATTTTATCCAATTCAGCTATTTGGGCTGTAAAGAATTCTGTGAGAGTTTTATCACTGTTGCCTGGTTTTCAATGCAAAAAACTTAGTTTGACGGGTAATTACTTAATGCATGTGATAAAGCCTCTTCAGCTGGTACGAACGAATCAAATTCCTTATACTTTTGGCCAGAACAAATCGATCCATCCGGGATCTACCTGGGGAGTCAGCTGGTACGAATGAAGCAAAAGCCTTTTAATCTACAGCCTAACAAATCGATCCATCCTGGATTTATGTGTGAAGTCCTATTCATCAATGAAGACTCCAAGAGTAAATCCTGGATAGATCGATTCGTTCTGGCTGTAGATTAAAAGGAATTTGATACAATTGTGCCAAGGTAGGGACGAGGCATAATGAACACACCTAAGAGGCCACACAAAGAGATCTCTTGTACTACACAAGAAATTGATATGTGGTTAAGAAAGTTGTCAACTAAGTGAGGGAGCTCTGGGCCACATGAAACATTGGCGAGGAGGGAAAAATGTCAAAATATATCTGCAATTTTCAACTAGAACCAACTTTACCGGCCACTGTGCAAGTTGTATTCCATGGAGACAGGAGAGCCATTATGTTATCTTATTTTCGTTGGAATGTCTAGACCATTTCGATTGCATCTCCAAACGTGACCAGAGCCTCGGAGTGCCAGGAATGCACCTCAGTTTTTAAGAGGAATTTTGACATATCTTGTAATTTATAGTCATTTCAACCAAGGTTGCTGTACCTCTTGGCACTGTTAGGTATTCTGCAACACCCCCTCGCCTCCCAGCTGTTTTTTGAAATACAAATCTTGTGTTTGTCAGCCAGGGGCTTTCAAATCTTAGTTGTGTCGTTTCAAGGATGGATGAAGAGAAAATGTCGAAACATTAAAATAAATCAAGTTATTGAATAAAGTATTATCATGAAGAAAATAAAACACGAGGACAATATATCTTAATTTAAAAAAAAAGCTATTCCATATATCCATACTGGTACAATCTAACACCTGTGTTGGTAGAGTTAGGATGGCAGGATTAACTGTGGCAGTCCAAACAATACTAAGCCCTGCCCTGCAGTGCTGGGCTTAACTGAGGCAGTCCAAACAATATGAAAGTATTTGAAAAACGCAAAGCTTTAGACAGTATACAGTGTCCTTTATCTAGCATTTTTTTCCACACAGGATCTGAAATGTTAATATAAAAGAAAAAAAAATCTCATGTACAGTAGGTGTGGCAAAATTACATAAATAAAAACGCTTGCTTATAGGTATTTGTGAGGACCCTGAAGGCATTATTAGCTGCACAGTTTACTAAAAATTGCAACAGAATGTAAAAGGAATGTTCGCTTTTGAGCATAATACAGTTAAAGGGACACTATAGTCACCAGAACAACTACAGCTTAATGTAGTTCTGGTGAGTACAATAGCTCCCTTCGGGCATTTTCATGCAAGCACTGCCTTTTCAGAGGAAAGGCAGTGTTTACATTGCCTCTAGGGACACCTCCAAGTGGCCACTCCTCAGATGGCCACTGGAGGGGCTTCCTGGCTCAGTGCTGCACAGTAAGCAGCAGTGCCGTTCAGTGTCTCTGCATGGAGACGCTGAATGTTCCTCATAGAGATGCATTGATTCAATGCATCTCTATGAGGAGGTACAGATTGGCCAAAACGGCGGTTGGCCCCGCCACCTTGTCAATTTTAGCCAATCCACTGCTTTCCCCATGGGAATTTAGATGTTGTCACCAAGGGGCGGGGCCAGCGCTGGCAGACCCGTTGAGAGTTGAAAATAAGGTGAGTTTTAACCCATTCTGAGGGGGCAGAGGGGGGGCAAACCACCTAAATGGTGGGTTTTCATTATAGGATCAGGAATACATGTTTGTGATCCCTTAAGATTTTGATAAAGTTGTGTCTGGTTGCAATTTAAATATACAGTCTAGATCTAGAGTTTTACATCTGCAAGTGTTGCGATATGTGAGGAATTCTTTGAAACACATAAATACACCTTGTTTTGATGGAACAGCCCTAAGGCACTTAACTTGTCATTTAAAATCCGCTTTTTCTTCCATTTTTTTTTTTACTTTGCCAACATGCGTAATTGAATTTCTTAAGCTTTTCCTTATTTTATAAAGATTTATTATTATACCGTTACAGAATGTGCAGCTGTCATTAGAGATCTAGGTTTCAAAGCGAGCAGTTTTGACACACTGCACCTTTCTTTCACAGTTTCATCATGCTGAATAAACGATTTTTCACACATGGTGCCGAACATTAACTCGGGAGCGTTAGATCATTTGCAGGAATGGCAGATTTTTGGCCAAAAAAATAAAATAAAATAAAGTTAAAATGATGCGGAGACACGACATGTCACTATTGTCTGGATTCTGTAAACTTTTAGTGAGCGCTCTAATTGAAGTTTGTGGGTGGTTTTCAAACACGAATGTCTTAAGTGATTGTGTCTGAATCCATTGAATGTTTTGTGCACTGCTTAACCCCTTAAGGACCAAGCTTTTTTGAAGGCAATCAGCACATGAGGAAACTGTAATTGTTTACATTGTTTGATGCTGTAGTGTAGTTCATACACCGTATACAAGTTACGTAGTTATGGCCATATCAGTGACCTGTATAATGATATCACACCCTTACAGTTATAACTTCCTAACGTCTTCATATGCATAATATTTTCTAATTGTCTTTACTCTGAATTTTTTTGTTCTGAAAGTATAATTAACAAAGTCTAGAAATGTGTCGACAAATATCAATATTTGCACTAAATAATTTTTCACTCTTTCATGGATGCCGCTTTCAGGTCTAAAGAAATCATCTGACCCTAAAGATGTATACTAACTGGGCTTTCCTTGCTAATATACCATTTGCAGATCTCTGAAGCCTTGGCAATGTGGGATGAGTGTGACCTTCCATTTTGATATTTGATTTTTAACGGCTGATTTATTGTGGTTCTTAAAGGGTTAATATAGGCGTTGAAAAGGAAATGCTATATGTATTCTTTGGTTTAAAATAAGGTTAAGAGCTCCTGCTATATAAAGATTGCCAGGTACTGAAAGGGTTAATGTTGTAATGGACTCTAATCCCCTCGGTTCTCGATCCCTCGGTCACCATAATCAACGTTGATGGAGAATCATTTGTAAGCAATAACACACGGACAACAGCTTTACAAGACTCTCAAATGAGTGTATTCCAGAGCTGGCTTTTATACATAGTTTGCTTACATTAGCCATGGTATATGCAAATACAGTACAGACTATAAGATTTATTACTTCCTTGTATTACGTTATTCTGACAATGGAAAGATAAGCTTTTGCATACGTCTGGAAAAGAATATCCTGAAATCGGAATGGGCAAGACATCCTGAAATTTTAGCATTGTCTTACATCCTATAGAAGAAATACCTTAGTCTGTCACAGTCAGCATATTGACTTTAAGTATTCAATATCCCTTCAGTCAGCAATAATCATGTTATAAACCTTATAAAAGCATAAAATACATATAAACAAGTTAACTATTTAATATTCTTACATTCCCCTCTTTGAGCAATAAAACAATTGCTCATCTTATCGATAAAATCTTACCAGGACAGAGAAACTTCCACATGGTATTTTCAGGGGTGCTAGTCACTCCCTGCGGGACTTTCATTAATTTCTTCACCTCGATTCCCATGTGGTAATTCCTAAGGCCCAGTTTAAAGATGGGTTGATACTCTCCAGTGGCAGAGAGGAGAATTTCTAATTGTTTCTGTTCTGCATTATGGATTAATTTCTGTACTCTCTTCCTCAATGTACAAGTAAGGTGACAGTTATATAAAATCATACACAATAAAATCAGGACTATAATAACAAAATGATAGAAGAATGATTTCATTATCTGGGATCCAGTAGGGGACCAACCAGTAAAGCATTGTACCAATGATGGGCTAAATCATTCTGAATTTGTGAACTCACCTTAAGGAGTTCTCCTTTTAGGATATGTGTGGCTACCTGTGTGTGTTATCTTTGGGAAAAAGATAGTCCCCTGTGTATGTGGGTGCCCACCAGGTTAAATTCTTGGCAAAAAGATCATAAACTGGTACTGGTAATGTGTTAAATTGACAAGCTAATTTAACATCCTTTGATAATGTATGATATAATGTTAAATAGCATGAGCATGAAAAAATGTGAAACATTACCAGTTAACCATCCATTGCATTTACTGGATTGGGGTTTTAGAAGTAACCAATCATTATCTGTGAGGTTACACATTCCTCTAATCTTCTCTAGTTTAGGAATCATTAGTGTGTTTTCTAATGCCAATCCTTGTTGTTGTATCCATAAATACCTGATGGCACAGGTACTCCAGTTACCGAGATCTGTGGTGAATTTCATAGTTGCAACAGTTAAATTATCTAAATAATTATACATTGATTTATCTAAATCCAATCCTATAACCTGTGATTTAACAACAATTGGAGCCCAGTTTGCAGTAGCATGAAAACCAGTCCCCATATGCATGCTGGCTGTGTTTAACTTATTCTTGAGGGTCTCCATATCTATAACTATTTAGTATACTCATAGTGGTTCCAGCACCTCCTAACAGTGTGTCATACCATTCCCTTTTCTGCCTTTGTTTGTTGTATTACATAATGTTACAACAAGAGTAGTGACTTTTAATGACACATGTACAGCTTGTAAGAAGGCAGTTGTATTAACACATGTGGACGGAATAGGTGTGTCTGTGTCGTGTTTGACTTTTGGTTCTATGGTAGAGGATAAAGGACAGTAAGGTGTAAAAATATAAGGTAGTGTATAGTTCTCAATTGCAGTGTCGTTCATAATGACTAACATTTGTCCCCTTCTCCGATTAATGATACCAGTTATATAATCATTATTAAAAGTAATAAGGCCTGTCTGTTTACATTGATATGCAACCTTAACTGTGCACATTTCTGCGTTATAAGATCTAACAATTTTCTGTGAACCTTCAAACAAACATAATGCATCGGTTTCATTAGCTGTAGACACATTCCATATGGGTAACTGGTACTTATAAGGGTTATTATTTATCCAATTCATCCAAATGCGTTCAGTGAATGAATGATTGCATATTACATGCTGATAGAAAGGTGGTGGAGAAAGGTTCTTGAGGGGGCGTGTGTGACGAATGCTAGATGAGGGGCTAAGGCCTAATTGGGCTGGGGGTATTGAAGAATTGTTCATCATGTCAGAGTCTTTTTCCAGAACTTGCCATTGACTTGTACTCATAATGGCATTCAAGGAACAATATCAGAGGGAGTATAACAACTCCAGAAAGCATAGCGCACAACATAATCTTGGTCTCAGGTACGTATGATCCTCTCAATCTACGATATGGTGTAAAAGCCATGATGCTTCGCTGAGGAGAAATTCTTCTGTTTCCGAGCGAGGAGTGGTGTTGTCTTCCTTTGTTCCCCTCTTTGGACACAGCTTCACTCGGGATGCGTGAATCCAGATGTCATGGGAATCTGTGAGGACAGCGGTTCTGGGTACAGCAATCACAGTAGCAGGTGGTCCAAAAGGGTATCCTCCTTTCTTGGTCCTGTTCAACTGACGGATATACACCTTGTCACCGGGCTGGTATGAATGAGTAGGTTCCTGTGAAGGTAAGGGAAAACTGCGAAGAAACATTGTCATACATACCATTCGGTTTTATCAACAATTCACCTTGTGGGGATATATTCTTATCTCAGCTAAAATAGCTGGTAGATATCTAGTCCAATTTACCCATGTTCCTGGGTAAATTCTGGGCTTTTCCTTAATAGTCCTATTCATCCTTTCAACTACCCCTGTATTCTGTGGATGATAGGGTATATGAAACTGCCAGGTAATTTGCAAGAATTTAGCAAGTTCCTGGGCAACCTTACTGGCAAAAACCGGGCCATTATCAGAGCCAATCTGCAGAGGGCAGCAATACCGGGGAATAATTTCAATAACAATAATCTTCACTAGCATCTTCCCTAGATGTCACAAAGGCATCATGCCATCTACTAAACTGATCAACTATGACCAGTAAGTATTGCTGTTTCTTACCAATTTTGGATACATGAATAAAATCAATCTGTGTGTAAAAAGAGCAGTGTTCACACGATCTTACAAAAGACTGTACATGCTGCCTGAGATTCCTAATATAAAATGAATTCATGAAGAATTGAATGGTGCTTGCTATGTGCCTGACTGATGAAAATAAATCAGCTTGCTTCAAGTATGCCTATTCTTCAAGTATGCCTATTCTCCCCTCTTTAGAGAACAGATCATTTTGATCTTTCTCTAAACCTTGTTTAATCCAAAAGACAGATTCTGGGTATTTAAAAAAAAGAATCTCATAACCACTGAAGCGCTGGGCTGTCATGTGTTGTGTGGTGAGATTTGTCATCAGCTGAGTGACCTGGTGACTGGCATGAAGTATTGTAGGATGCCCTAGTGTGATAGTAGTAGCAGTTTCAACAGCCATTGCACATGCTATCAATGCTCTGAGACACGCCGGCATACCCTGTACCGGAGCTCGAACTACTTTGGAAAAGAATGCTATGGGACGCATACCGCCTCCTTGCTCTTGTGCACAGACTGCGGCCATGGTTTTACAATTGTCCCAAGCATACAAATGAAATGGTTTACAATACACAGGTAGTCCTAAAGCCTGGGCTTGCACAATAACAACTGTAAGGGCAATATATGCAGCTAGCATGTCTGGTGACCAGCAGACATTTTCAGGGCTGTCAGAACGTACAGCCTCCCTTAGGATTGAGTCATAATGGGAGCATTCAGGGATCCATTGGTGGCAGTAATTAATCATGCCGAGGAAGGTGAGCAACTCCTTCCGAGTAGTGGGTGTTGGAATCCTCTGAATGACCTCAATACGTTTTGGACTCAATTGTCTGGTGCCTGAAGCCAGAACAAAACCTAAGTATTCAACCTTTGATTTACACAATTGCATTTTGTGTTTAACAACCTTGTGACCTACAGTTGCTGACAGTATCCACAGTGCTTGCCTCATAGCTAGGGCTACATAACAACAAATCATCAACATTTTGCAAAAAGGACGGAACCATGACCGGTGGTCCATGTTTTTTAGAGTATGTTAGAGTACCAACGAATAAACAGCTGGGGAATCCACATAGCCTTGGGTAAGCGTGTCCAGGTAAACTGACAGCCTTCAAAAAGTAAAAACCATAAGTAGCTGTGTCTCTTGATCAATAGGTATAGAAAAAAATGCATTACTTAAATCAATGACAGTGAAGCAAGTGGCATCATGTGGAATGGCTGTAATGAGGGATGTCACATCAGGGACAATGGGTGAAATGGGCACAATTAAACTATTCAGGGCTCTAAAGTCCTGAACTAAGCGATATGCTGGCCAGTGGTGTTGGGAGTGGGTCTGGTGTTGTTCTTGCCTACAGGGCATATTTTGAGAATTGTGGGGTTGTTGGGGTGTGTGGGGTTTCCTGGGGTTTCCTGGGGTGGACACTCATTCCTCCAGTGGCCATATTGGCCACAGTTGAAACAAGTGTTCCTGTCTATTCCTCCTTGGTTACCCCTGCCCCTATAACCCTGATTTCCTGTCTCCATCCCCTTGCCCCTCTTTGACCACCCCTTCCACGGGCTTTATGTGCTCCATCCCATCCTCGCTCTCAGCCTGTGTAGGTGGCAATCCCTGAGCATAATAAGCAACCTTACTTTCCTAAATCTTTTCTTAATTCAAAACAACCTGCATTTTCCTTTTCTATAACCTTGGTAAGAAAATCTGAGCTATCCAAATTGTCCCAGTCTGAAATCAATTGTTTCACAAGCAAAGAATACTGTGGCAACATATTACCAAGGCATGATTGTATTTTAAAGATATCTATATCATCTCCAGACATCAAACCTGCCTCATCCTTCCAACACTTGTAAAATTTCTTTACAAAAATCATATTACCAATCTCTTCCTTTGCATCTTGCTTATATGCCAAAGCAGTGAATATAGACTACCTATTCTTCCATAATCCCAACATTTCAGCTTCCACCTTGTTCCAAATTTTAGCACATCTTACTGAAGTACTAAGCTCATAATCACCAATTCATTTCAAACCATATAACTCATACTCAGCATCCCATGTAATATTAGTCATCTCATAAAACAATATCTTTGTAGAAACACATAATGGGTACCCAGCAGATATGCCAATACAGAAATCACATTTATGGGCACACAACTACACACTCTGTCTCCCTCCTAGGAAACACGGATACACACAATATAAAAGCAATCTTAAACTAACACCTCCAAATCTCCAACTATTCTTGGCCAAAATGCTAGTATTCAACAACTAATAAAACAGTTATTTGCTAGGTTATTTGGCTGTCATTCTTATCAGTATCACTAGACTGTGACAAACTGATTCACATATAATTTAAAACAATACAGCAACATATAAATTAAACTACTTTCAAGTTAAACTGCACACTTATCACACATTATCACAGTCACCATTTACACAGAATAAACAGTTAACAGCTGTATTCAGAACATATTATTGGAAAGTATACCAATTTTAGTTTAGATTTATTTTAGGGATTCTTATGTATACATTTTCTTAATTAACTTCATTACTTTAATCTACTATAGTATTGTATTTAAAGAAAGGATCCATTTATATAGCGCGCTCATAACTCAACTATTTGTATAAAACTACCATTAACTAATCTGAGATGATGCTGCATCAACTTAAATCTTACAGAAATTGAACAAACATCTGGACCAGATTAAACAGACATGGTTTCACCTGAATCTTTCAGAACTCTCAGAGACTTAAAAATTTATACTATACCATGTTTTAAAGGCATGGCAAACCTTTAGACCGGTCAGTCTCCAAGAGCCCTTAGTAACACAGGTAAAAACCTTTTGTCCATGATGTCTGATTCAGGCTATATACCACAATTAAAATAACACATAATGTGAGACATAGAAGACACAAGCAGTAGTTATTACACTGGATCATTTAAAAGGAACCTGTTGCAATAAAAAGGTTAGTTTACAGTGCAAAATAAAGCATGTGTTGGACCGCTGAAAATGTAAATGTTGCTCTGTTATTTTCAAACATAAAATTATATTTACAGTATGGATCTTTTGCAACAAACACACAGGGCAGGGTAGATGTGCTGATTGGTGTTTCTATACAATTAATCCCATATGGGGAATTAACTTTCAAATACTAATGAAGTGACTTTTTGTCTCAGTTATAAAATATACTGAGCTCATCATGCAAACAATGCAACACATTTACACTATCCCACTCTCATAATAAGTGTAGTGGGCTTATGGTATTTTTAAAGCAGCAATCATACCAGGCACATAGATCCCATGTGAAATAACTTACAATAAAACAGAGTAATAAACTTATACTTCTATGCGACAGAAAGAATAAAGCAAAAAGATTTAAGTAGGTCTATCAGGTACAACCTGTGAGTCATTTCTTTTCTAATATACAGTACTGCTATCTTGCAGAAAGATAAGTCCTGCGCTCACTCCCATCACTACTGGGCAGCAGCAAGGACTACAGTACACATCAGCCCCAATATATGGTAAAAACCAAAGAAAAACAAGTTACCTGCGTTCTCTCCTTAAGCCCTATGTATTTTTAAAACCTCAATTTGTTTAAAAGTACTGCTATCTTATATATACACATATACATATACACACACATATATACATACATATACACATATATACATACACATATTGGTCACTCAGGACATGAACTCACATTTCCCATACTGCTGACTCAGAGTGGGGACACTACTAACTTACCAAAGTGTGTCCCCAATATAGACAAACAATCACCCACAAAAAACACTTAAGACAAACAAAGGTGACCGGGAGAAAGAGAAGTTTGGGTTATACTTATAGATCTACAAACCGTGTTGCTCAGAACACCTATAGACTTAATAAACCGGAGACCTCTTATGGTCTCAAAAACCTGTATCTATCTTAGATACTAACCTGGGTTACCAAAACCCTATATATATTTAGACCAAATGTCTAATAAACCGGAGACCTCTTATAGTCTCAATATAACTAGAGTCCTTACACCTTTCCTATCTACTGGATACAGACTTACTGAACCAAAGGGTGGTCATAGACAATCAGCGTCAAATAAGACACAAAAAGGCTACTCACCGCAAATGGTTTTGCTGATCCCCTTCATCTATCCCACTTCTAGACACCAAGCTGAAAGGGTTAATGTTGTAATGGACTCTAATCCCCTCGGTTCTCGATCCCTCGGTCACCATAATCAACGTTGATGGAGAATCATTTGTAAGCAATAACACACGGACAACAGCTTTACAAGACTCTCAAATGAGTGTATTCCAGAGCTGGCTTTTATACATAGTTTGCTTACATTAGCCATGGTATATGCAAATACAGTACAGACTATAAGATTTATTACTTCCTTGTATTACGTTATTCTGACAATGGAAAGATAAGCTTTTGCATACGTCTGGAAAAGAATATCCTGAAATCGGAATGGGCAAGACATCCTGAAATTTTAGCATTGTCTTACATCCTATAGAAGAAATACCTTAGTCTGTCACAGTCAGCATATTGACTTTAAGTATTCAATATCCCTTCAGTCAGCAATAATCATGTTATAAACCTTATAAAAGCATAAAATACATATAAACAAGTTAACTATTTAATATTCTTACAGGTACATCATTAGTTTAGCTCACTCATCCAGTTGTATCATTTTCTGTGTTATATCTATAACTACTGTAGTGTGTTCTCATCCAAGTGTACAAGGAAGGGATGGACAAATCATTGCTTTCCATTTACCTGCCTCCAGCGTTTATTTAGTCTTAATATGCAACATATTGGTAGCTTCACATATTAATCTGTAACATCAATATCCTCCAGCATCTGTCTCTTATAGATAATGGAACAGATGCCCTTACAACTCCATCCAGAACTCAGATTCCATTAGGAATATCAGGTACCGTTCCCTGGAGACAGGGCCTTCTGTCCCTCTTCACAAGGAAAAGGGAAATGTACTAATGTTTAAGCAAAAC